GACTATTCAAAGTACCAGATAATTATCGACAAACGTCAAATTACAAACTGATAGCATCACTATACTGGTAGAAAGATACAATGTCTCATTTACAATCCTGAAGAACATTTCAAAATTCTATGAAAAAAACATACAAACAATGATGTTGTGCACATGCCCTGTGCATAGCACCCTAAACAAATGCAAACATTATACAATTTCCCCCTTTTTCTGTTGCTTATTTCTATGGAATGTGCAAAAATGACGAAAAAACGATTTACACCACCCTTGCTGTTGTCTGTATGTCTACATGATGAACTTGATATCCGGATTTCTTATCGATTTCAGCCACATATCTGCCATTACACGCGATGATATGCTCCATAGCAAGTCTTGGCCTTTTAGTGGTGAAGATTTCTTTGCTTTCTTCCCCATTTTACCAAGTCCATAAGCTACTAGCCACTGCATTGCTGTCAATTTCTGCTTTTCTGTGTCCCACGTGTTCTTCCTCCCTCCGCTCCTGACTTTCAATCCTCCAATAGCCAGACACGCGATTTTAAACTTCTTTTCCTCATCATCAAAGTTGTTAGTTTCCTCATCAATAGGAACTGCTTGAACCAGTGCTATCATAGGTCCTCCAACTGCCTCGAATTGCCTCAATGGATCCCTCAGTTGAACCACAACTGAGATCATTATACTATCACTTTTGTCATATTTCGTCCAGTCTTCGAGTGGGACAGCAGAGTCCAACGGGTGACCATCATCATCTTTCTTGATAGCTTGAACGTCGAAAGGAGCCTCTTCTTCCGGTATATCTGCCTGAATTTTCAATGCTTCGATTGTCATTGCCTCCATTTTCTGCAGTGTGAATGCAAGAATCTCATCCACTGTCAACGGTTTGTCACTGATGTTCCATATCCCCGTAGAGATCCTCTCGTTCCTGCTGGTGTTCATTGCTGTTGCCATTGATTTCACTACTGCAACTGTCTCAGCAGCACTTGAGCTGGCACCTCCTTCTTTGTTCCTCCCTTGAATAATTGCTGAAGCAATGCCTTCAAACGCTATCTGCTCCGCTGTTTTGCCCATGAGCTCTTCCATTGGCATCATTGATAAGATCTTGGACGTAAATTCCTCTAGCCCGGCAGCTGCCATTCTCTGGAACAACTCGAATCCATTCATAGATGACGGAATAGATGGAAGGACAAATGGTTTTGATATCTGCATTGCAAGTTTCGGAGCGTCTTTTCTCAAAACAGCAGTATTCAGAGGATTCATAGCTGCTAAAAAACCGCCATTTCTTGTTTGAACAACACATCCTAACCCCTTAGCAAGATCAGGTATAAATATGCCCGATTCTCTCTTTTCGTTATCTTCATTTCCTCCTCCTCCTCCTTGCAGCTTTAACGCGGGGGTTTCTTGATTATCCGTCTTGAGCTGACTAACGCCTGGATCTTCCAGCATTTGGAGGAATTCCCTTGTCACGGTTTCCTCATTCGCGTCCAGCCTTTGGGATTCAGAGTCATCCTCCTCCATCTTAACTTGGTTTTCATCTTTAAACATTGATTCAAGTGCTTTGATTTGCTGTGCAATGGAATCTAGTGCTGACAATCTTGTCAAATGCATTTGATCGTGCACGACTTCCTTAACAACCTCGTGACTAGATGATACCGATCTTTTATCAGAATTTCCTTCTGATCGCTCGTCTCCATCTTCCTCCTCCTCTCCTACTTCTTTTGTTGCTTCATCTTTATCTTCCATTTCAACTCCTTTATCTTGAATTTCAATTCCTTTATCCACAATATCGAAATCAGGGAGATCAAGATCCTCTGCTTTCGACTCTGGCTCCTCCTTTACAGGCTCGTCGTCTAGATTCAGCTCATCAATCCCTTGAATATTTGCTGTTGTTCCTGCTTGTGATGGAGTCCAATTAGCTGAACTTAAACTAGACATTCTTGGACTCTGGACGCTAAAAGACGTTTTCGATTGCTTTCTAGCAAATGAAGACGAGTAGCTCTTCGCGTTTTTCGTTCCCCCTTCAGCTTGGCTATAAATCCCAACTCCACCATCTTTCTCCATAATCTGAAATCCCAATTTCAAAACTACCTCTCCTCCTTTCGCCTTCCCGGATAGAGTATAACTCGTATCCCATTGGCGAATTCGATTTCCTTCAAAGCTCTTCTGTACTGACTCCTCAATCATTTCACTCAAATCAACCATGTTTTTTCCAAAATCAAGTTCCTCTGCATCAACTGCAAAGACAAATATGGAAAATGGACGGGGCTCGAATTTATATCGAGCCCCTCCATTACTAGTACCCGTGCCGGGTGTATAATAAACATGACACCTGATAAAAAGTGTTTCTTCAAAATCTGCAGCTCCTTGTGAAACTCTAGATGGCATAGTTTGTACTGCTCCATCTTTAGTTTCTTTTTTTCTTACACAAACAGATAGTCGTAGACCGTTCATGGACGCTGGGAGTCCTTGAACGGTCACGACTTCAACTGAGAATAAACAACTCAACTTTTGCTTACCAATGTGAGCAAGAGCTCGAATTGGTTTCCAGTTCCACAAGCCTTTCTTCTGGGAGTTCGAATCAGCTCCTTTGCTATCCAATTTCTTAACTAACTTCGTGTTGCTGGTGCTGGTGTTGGTGCTGGTATTGCTTTGTTGTTGTATATTGTCCTCGCTCTGGATGTCCTGTTTAGGCCGAGAACGCCAGGGGGATAATGACATCCGCCTGGCTCTCGGCTTAGGATTGACAACGATACTATCAGTATCGTTGTCATTTTTAGCACCACCTGTTAGGGACTCGATTGAAGGGATCGAATCTCGAGGCAAGACAAGGGAGGCGGTTCTTCGAGTTGTTGTAGTATGTGATGGTGGTTGATAGAGTGTTTCACTAAGTGCTTCAAGTTCTTGCAATAATTGTGTATTGGAATTCCTTCTATTAGTTACATAATCCGCCATTACAAGAAGTCGTATGATACAATAGATAACCTTTCCTGATTGATCAACGCGAGTGAACTATATGCTTTGAAATTCACAAAAAGAAGAAAATAAGTTTTTTTTTTTTTTTTTTTTGGGAAATGATTTTGCAATGTAGAATTGGTGGTAGAGATATGATGAGGGGTTAGTTAGGTGAGTAGATTGATGTGTGTATTTGAGGACTGGAAAATTCTGTAGGGATAGATTACTTGGTGCTTTGTGAACCAGGTATTTGCATGAGCTTTGTATGTGATGGATAAGGCAAGAACGTTTGTCTCTATATCTATACCCACCCCACCCCTACCTCAAGTAGGGACCAAACTACATCATTAGTTACGATCCGATAGAATTCAGTAACTTCCATTTACACATTTATCTTGTGTCCGCTAGGCAAGAGGATAGCAAGTTCCGAGCTAAGACAATTATTGTATGAGGTTTACCCAATGCTAAATGTAGAGGTGTATAATAAATCGATATGAATATCATGGGTTGTCCGATAATAAAATGAGTGTGAACCCAATAAGTTGTTTTGTCTTGCGCAATTCAAAGTTAGGGAACTAGAAAACTACTCCCTCTAGCCTCTGTCCAACAATAGTTGTCTATTATATTATTTTGGAATGTCCAACAATACTTATCCACTTTATAAAATTAATGGAAGAATACACTTGGTTCCTAATTTATCCTTATAATTAATTATAATAAAATATTTCTCTATTATATTTTTAAAAACATTGTATTTATTATATTCAAGGGTAATATAATAAAATAAGGAAAAAAAGACCGGATAGAATGTACGCAAAAGTGGCGTTTCTGATCAAAAAGATAAGGGTCCAAGGAATATAGCCCAATATATATGAAGGGACAACTATGAGAACAAAGATAGAGAACTAGATATGTACAAAATTACAAGATTGATTCTCCTGTTTGCATCCAAAGCTCTGATTTGAGTTTGTGTATTACAATATTTTAGATACTATTTATAAACAATTTGAGTTTAAACATTTTATATTGTCCTTTATTAAATGATTTAGAGCACATAAATATTAGTGACTTATTTTAGAATGTAAATCATAAATTTAAAATGTCTTCTTTCTCCCTTTAAAATTCACGTTTAGTTAATCAATATCACGTAAATGGAGACAATTCAATTAAGTCATAGGTTTTATATTAATTAATGCCTAGTTAAATAGTATCACATTAATTTAGACGTATCAATTAAGTTTATGAATTTTAGATCAATTTATGCTTAGTCAAATAATTACATAAATTGAAACGGTTTAGTCTGTTCAACAATACTTGTCCACTATTGACTTTGCACACTTCTTAAGAAACTATAAACAGAAGATTAACTTTATGGGAAAAAGGACAAATATACCCCCGAATTATCGTAAATGGTATGCAGATACCCTCCGTCATACTTTTGGGACATTGGTACCCCTGCCGTCCAAAAATAGAGCATATATACCTTTTATACTCACGGACATACACGTGTCATAATCTTATCCACTGACCTGACATTTATTAAATATCAAATCATTGGATAAGATTGTGCCACATGTCCCTATTTAATCTTCCGTTATAATGAAGGGCATATAAGCTCTAGTTTTTGGATGGCAAGGGCACCAATGTCCCAAAAGTATGACGGAGGGTATCTGCATACCATTTACGATAATTCGGGGGTATATTTGTCCTTTTTCCCATAAAGTTAATCTTCTGTTTATAGTTTCTTAAGAAGTGTGCAAAGTCAATAGTGGACAAGTATTGTTGAACAGACTAAACCGTTTCAATTTATGTAATTATTTGACTAAGCATAAATTGATCTAAAATTCATAAACTTAATTGATACGTCTAAATTAATGTGATACTATTTAACTAGGCATTAATTAATATAAAACCTATGACTTAATTGAATTGTCTCCATTTACGTGATATTGATTAACTAAACGTGAATTTTAAAGGGAGAAAGAAGACATTTTAAATTTATGATTTACATTCTAAAATAAGTCACTAATATTTATGTGCTCTAAATCATTTAATAAAGGACAATATAAAATGTTTAAACTCAAATTGTTTATAAATAGTATCTAAAATATTGTAATACACAAACTCAAATCAGAGCTTTGGATGCAAACAGGAGAATCAATCTTGTAATTTTGTACATATCTAGTTCTCTATCTTTGTTCTCATAGTTGTCCCTTCATATATATTGGGCTATATTCCTTGGACCCTTATCTTTTTGATCAGAAACGCCACTTTTGCGTACATTCTATCCTCTCCAAACATTCATATATTTTGGGTTATATTCCTTGAACTCTTATCTTTTGATGGACGGTTTATCGGAGACGCCACTTTTGCATACATTCTATCCTCTTCAAACACCACTTGTGAGATTATACAGAGTAAATTGTTGTTGTTACTTGAACCCTTGATGTGGATGACAACTAGAGATAAAGCAACAAACAATGTCAAGTACAATCTTGTTCTCTTTTTTTGAACTCCACACAATCTTACAACAAACAAGGGGACAAGTATATCAAACAAAGGAAGAATCTGAACAAGTACCTTTGACAAAATCTATTCATCACATCCAACTCATAAAACTATAATATGGTACAACTCAGAATTGACAGTTGAAAGTTGAGTAACATTACATAAGTATCTTAGGTATATATATACAAGAAAATATATTAAATGTAATATTGAGTGCCATTGTACAAGCAAATCGACACCACAGATGTGGTACAATTAAAGCAAAAACAAGTTCACCATATTTTTTTTTTTGGCTCCACACAATCTAACACAGGGATCTGAATAAGAACCTTTGGCAATATCTATGTACTATATTTGCACAATAGTTGAAAGTATCTTATTAAGCATCGTATGTATAAACAGTGGCAAGGCCAAGATTTTCACTTAAGGGATCAAAATATGAAGAAGTTAACACACAAAGAAGCCGAATGAGGTTCAACATCTACTATGTCTACAAAAAAAGTAATTTTAACCATATAATTTTCCGGCATCACCTGGCTATACCCATGTATGAATACAAGAAAATACTTTAAGATGAAGTATATTACCAAATTACTGACTAAGAAAACAATAGTAGTAGAAGGATGATGGCTAGCAAGAAAAAGACAATATGTATTGGCAAAAAGAAAAAGGGCTTAAAAACACTATCGCGTACAATTGTACGTGCGAATTGACACAACATATGTTAACTAAAACAAAAACTAGTTTAACCATATCAAGTCCCTTTGTGAAGAAGAAGAAGAAACAAAGCAAAGAAACATGAAATCCCTCAGAGTAAAGCTTTTCATCAATGGTCATCAGGCCACTACTTTTAAATTATTCAGCTAACTTCATCATCGGGATTTAAATACTTCTGAAAAATCAAGACACATTATAACATATCGCAGTATAACAATATTCTAAGACGATGTAAATAACCATATTATTGACTAGCACTCCAGAATAGTGATGACTGATGCCTAACAAGAAAAAAGACACCACATTTTTAGATTTTTAGGCATAAACATGTAATACCGAGTGCCATTGTATATGCAAATTGACAGTACATTTGTGGTAAAATTAAGGCAAAAACTACTTAACACTAAATGTAAACAAGAAATCCCTCGGCAAAAAGTTTTTCATCAATGGTCATCAGGCCACTACTTTAAAATTATTCAGTTGATTCATCACAAGTATCAAAGAAACTTCTGAAAAAGCAGACACATTATAACATATCACAGCAATAAATAATTTTTAAAATCACCTGTCACAATGTAAATCATCAATTGGCTTCAGTTCACAACCTTAAATTGCCATAGCTAATATTTATGGAGATGCAAGTTGCATATTACTGACTAAGAAGACAATAGTACTCGAGAACAATAACACCTAACAAGACAAAGACACCATTTAAAGCAAAAAAAAGAAGATGTTTAAACATAACATCAAAAGCAAAATCTAGCTTTTACCACATCAAGTCAATAAATAAACAAAGAATCCCTCAGAACAAAGCTTTTCATCAATGGTCATCAGGCCACTACTTTTAAATTATTCAGCTAATTCATCAGAGGGATTCAACAACAACACGACAAACCACAAGTGAGGTCTAAGCAGGGTGATGTGTACGAAGCCTTACCCCTACCTTGTAAAGAGGTTATTTCAGTCAAACCCTCGTCTCAAGTAAAACACAAGACACATTATAACATATAACAACAACAAATAATTTCTAAAACGAGGTACATTACAAAATTACTGACAAAGAAAACGATAGTACTCTAGAGGGATGATGTCTAACAACAAAAAGGCACCATCTTTAAGCAAAAAACTGGTCAAACATAATATCAAGTGCCACTCAACGTGCAAATCAACACTACATATGTGGTAAAATTAAAGCAAAAAAACTAGTTACTCCAGTAGAGCCCCTCCGCCCAACCAACATTTTGCGGAATCCCTCAGAACAAAGCTTTTCATCAATGGTCATCAGGCCACTACTTTTAAATTATTCAGCTAGTTCATCACAGAGATTCAAATATTCTAAATACAACACAATTTATAACAAATCACAGCAAAAAAAAAAGAACTTTCTTAAATTGGCTACAGTCGTTGGAACAAAAAAGTTCAGTAATTTTCAAATAGCAGCAAATAATTAGAATCTTAACTTGTCTATCAACTAGAATTTGTAAAATTCCCAACTAAAAAAAAGGACTAATGTAAGAAAATAATTCATCCCTCAGAATTGAGTATTTTTCTTCCTTTAAAGATCAGTCTACTTTTAACGTTAAATTTAGAAAGAACTCATCACAGGGATGTAGTGTGAAAAATGAAAAAAAATATATAACATAAGATAAATAAGAACATGAAATAAGCATCGCTCAGAATTAATTTATTCATCAATGTATTTTTCAGTCCACTACTTTTATATTTTTTATCGTCATAGCCATAACAATATGAACTCCAACTATGAATCTGAACAATCATTTTTTCGCGAATTTCATACCACATCTATCAGTTAATCCTTTTAATACATAGATAGTTAAAATACAAAAAGAAAACAACTTATAGCTGGAGTATGAAATTCACGAGAAAAAAAAACTTGAGTTGCGTTTTTGATCATTAACTACTCAAAAAACAACTTTACAGAAGGATAAATATTTATCAATATCAAGTGTATACGCCAAATCAAGCAATTAACTTGAAAAATCAACAAATCAAAGTGAAAAAATGCAAGACAAATGTTACTTTAATTGGTGTAAAAACTCGGTGTGGATAATATTTTTATAAAACGTGAAGATCTAAGTATGAATATAAATATCGGAATAGAAGAATCACCATTTAAGCACAGTGGAGATTTTGCAGAAAATGGAGAAGGCGAAATGAGAAGAAGAGTGGCGGCTGCAATTATGGAGTAGAGGGTTTTATTTATATAGAAAGAAGATAATAGGGGTAGTAAGCCCAAATCTTGTTCAAGGTCCACTTTATTATTTGGGCTTCATCAATTCTATTATAGATTTTTTGATATATTTGATAGGGAAATTTTCAAAAAAAAGACTATAGTTTGGACTTAATTAGAGATGTATAGTTATAATTTGCTTATTACGAATTATTATTACTTGTTTGGGGAGGAGAGAGATGAGCGAGAATAGGAGAGGGAGCAGAGATGCGAGTGAGATATGGGAGAGAGAGGTGAATATATGTTATATTTGTTGTATTAAGTTGTATCATGAATACAATTGATACAACTGATATTGCAAAATGAATACAATTGTATTTAGCTACATATTAGGAGGAGAGATGCGAGCGAGATCGAGAAAGGGAGGAGAGATGCGAGCGAGATCGAGAAAGGAAGGAGAGAGGTAAGTGAGATCGAGAGAGGGAGGAGAAAGGATGAATACATGTTGGATTTGTTGATCATGAATACAATTGATATAGAAAACAAATACAATTGATACACAATACAAATATAGTTATCTGAATACATATACAATTAATATAAAATACAATTATTCCACATATATTTGATTGAATACAATTAATTCATACAAAGGGGATGAATGCATATTGTATTTGTTGTATCAAGTAGCGGAATATGTGATTCGCGTGCATATAATAATAATAATAAATCATTTTAATTGAAAATCACGCACATACATTATACATGTAGTTAATTGTTTATGTAAGTTTGTGTTTTCAAAGTAGAAGTTGAATGCGTGGCTAACTATAGGTGTATCTATGCGTGGACAATAATGACTATGAAATTTGAATACACAAACACATATATAAGTATGTATAGGCTATAAAATACATAACCAAAATTGATAAATATAGTGCTCAAGGCATGACAATGTATTTTGATTTCATACTATATTTAATTCAGTTATTATATTGAACAATTCATAAATCACACATAATTGTCATAATTCAAAACCTATAAATAATAAAAAGGAGAATTACTTCTGAAATTATGGTATGCAAGTCAGCACAAATTTGAATTAATTTCGTGTAATCTAAATGTTTTATTGCACCACATAAAATTAAAGTGTTATGGTGATGATTTCAAGTTACAAACAACTTACAAAAAATAACAATAATGACAATAACATGTCTAGTAAAATTCACAAGTGAGATTTGAGGAAGGTAAAATGTACCTGACTTTACTATTATCTCGTGAAGATAATTATTTCTGAAAGACTCTCGGCTCAAGTCAAGTTACAAACAATAAAAAGGAAAAAATATACATCTCAAGTTTATAGCATGAAAACTATAACGAATCATGAAGCCGATATGATTATCTTGTAAGATACTCTCTCTATCCCTAATTACTTGTCCACTTTTAAATTGACACACCTATTAAGAAAACAATTATTGACATAGTGAGTTTATCATTTTAGCCCTATTAATTATGAAGTAGATGAATTAAAAATTTAAGGTTTTCAAGAAGTCTTACCTTTTTCAAAGTAATTAACTGAGGGTATAATAGGTAAAAAAAATTGTCCTTTCTTGATTTATCAAAATTGACAAGTAATTAGAGACAACTAAAAGGGAAAAAGTGAACAAGTAATTAGGAACAGAGGGAGTAACTCACAAGTCATACCTCGATTTCAAGACTATAAACAAAAAATGTAATTTTTTTCTAAATTATAACATGCAAATCATGACAGATTGATATAAATATCTCATTAAAAAATGTTTGACCATATAAATTAAGTATTCTTTATTTTATTTGAAATTTTTGATGTTGTAATTGAAGATTGCATTTTATTATACTTTTTACAAATACAATAGATTCAAATCCAGAATTCACCTCGAAGTTGAATTTAGAAGGTAAAATTTTTATGGTCACATTACTCACTTCTAATTAATTTAATCTAATTTAAAGTAAGTTGTGATAATTAATTTTAAATATTTTTTGTTTTTGAAAATAAAAAGATTGTCCTTCTATCATTTTCTTCACAAACGCAGAAAAAGTAAGAGGAGAGAGTAAGACGAAATACTTCACATAATCAGCTGAAGGATGAGGCGGAGACCGGGAATCGGAGGTCTGCAGAACGCCGCGGCGGCTAGGGTTTGTGATCTAAGTTTATTTATTTTGAGTTTTTCAAAAAAATCGGTAATTTTTGTTGTTTAATAATCTAACTTTTGTTTTTGCGATCTTCATTGAAGGATCAATATCGTTTGCTAGGGGAAAATGTTGCGAAATTGAGAACAAATCTTATGAAAGAGCAGCTCGCTACTTTTCGATCCCAGCTTGAAGATTTCGCTCGAAAACACAAGGTTTTTTCATTATTTCGTTTTTTTTTTAGTGTGAGAGTATTCTTTTTGTTATTAATTTAAGGTATTTTATTATTTTTTATCACGCTGCGTTGAAGCTAATGAGTTCTGGATATACTGGATTAGCTCCGGTTTGGCTGTAGATTTTGGAATTAGATTTTCAAAAGAAAAAAAAATGTTGAAAACATAGTTTGTCTATGAAACTTGGCAAGTGTTTGAAAATTTATCTTCAAATTTTTTTCTAGTTCCAACATTTTTTGGGTTTTTGGTACTTCCACTCACAAAGCTTCAATTTTTCAAGTAAAATGCATGTCTAAATTCAACTTCAAATTACAAAAGTTATTCTTCAACTAACTTCAAAAACTCATTTTTTTCCCAAGTAAACAGTAGCCAAGTTAATAATATGCACATATTCAATGAATTTACGACCAATACAAAGTTTGAACTAAAGTTGCTTGTTGGGTGAAGCTATTACCGTAACTGTAGCTCTGCCCGTGCTACCTTTGCCTTCAGTTGAACGATTTGGTAGGAGTATGATGATTAAAGCATCTGATTTTGCGAAATTGAGGCATCCATTCCTTAATTTCCTAAAATAAAAAATGGCATAATACATAAATGTGCCCTTTAACTTAGCCTCATTTCACATTTATGCCCTTCAACGTTGGGTATGCACAAGTACGCACTTAAACTTGTATAAAGTTGAACAAGTAGACACATGAGTCCTACGTGACACAATACACGTAGGATAAAAAATGACATGTAAGACATGTGTGTCTATTTGATCAACTTTATACAAGTTTAAGTGTCTACTTGTGCACACCTAAAGTTGAAGGGTATAAATGTGATTTGAGGCCAAGTTAAAGGGCATATTTATGTATTATGCCTAAAAAAAACCAATGTATTGATAAACTACAGAAAGAAGAGTACTGTGAATCATAAGCTATTTTGTAATTAGAAGTACTTGTAATTTGTAAATATTTGGGAAGAAAATATAGCTAAAGAAAGAACTATATAATTGTCAGAGTCTCATATGTGTTGCGAGGAAACATGTATATGTCTAACTCTAATTATCTGTACTTGGCCACCTGTTGCTAATTCCGAAAAAGACATGAAAAGATGCATTTTCAGCTTATTTTATGGTCAACTTGGGATTTATGTGTGGTTATATTAGCAAAGGGATCACAATTGAACTCTACCATTTGTATTTTTCTAGAAGATAATGGTATTGAGATAGTATATGTGCTGTTTATAATGTTTGGGCAGCAACCACACTGGTTGAGTTTGATGGACATTTTCCTTTTTCTGTTCTAACTGGAGTCTTGTAAAAGAGGTTTCGTTGTGCGTTCTGCTTCTTTGGTACTTTTTCTAATTGAAATTTATATATATGCCTTTACTTATTTAACAAAACATTTGAAATAAAAGAAGAAAGTTTTGGTTACTCCTTGTTTTATTTTGCAGAATGACATTCGCAAGAACCCTGCATTCAGGGCACAGTTCCACGAGATGTGTGCTAAAGTCGGAGTAGATCCTCTAGCATCAAACAAGGGTTTCTGGGCAGAACTGTTGGGGATTGGTGACTTCTATTATGAACTTGGTTGGTATCAATCTCCTCCGTAGTTTTGGTTAATGCAAGGCATGCTTAGAAACTTCGTTTTAATGGTGCATGAGAGGAACATTGCATATTATTTCACACTGCAGTTTGACATGCGACATCAAACTTTGAGCAGTATTCTATGTAGTGGCGTGTTCCTGTTATTTTGTGTAAATCATGCTTAATTCTTACCTTTTTTCTTTTGAATATCCATAGTTTTTAAGTATTATGGTTTTGTTGATAAATCTCCAACAAACTGGACTTAAATAAAGCCACCTGTCTAGGCAGGGGTACAGATTATTGAGGTTTGCCTAGCGACTAGACCCCACAATGGAGGTTTGATAAGCTTGGATGATCTTTGTAAACTGCTTGGTCAGAGACGGAAAGCTGTGCGCGAGACAATATCTGAAGATGACTGCTTGCGTGCTATAAGCAAATTGAAGGTATGGACTTAAGCTTTAATGTTTCAATTGGCAGTAACTGAATGATTCATTGAGCAACCGATGCTAAATATACCAGATCCTCTTTTTCATATACTCTGAAGAGCATATTTCACATTTTAGTGCTTTGCGCATCTAATTATGAAGATTCTTCATGTTTCAACCCTTGGATACCAGGATATTTGATTTACCCTTCGGGGTGGCCCAGTGGTTTGGGCTTGGGACTTCCATGTTGGAGGTCTCAAGTTCGAAACCCCTTGCCAGCGAAAGCAAGGGGTTTGCTTCTGGGTCGAGCTTGTCGCACCGGGCTTGCCTAGTGCGAGTTACCTCTCCTATGTGATTTGCGAGCTATTACATAGGAGCGGGGTTTTTACCCTGTGCGCACCCAAAGGGTAGCGGCTGCGGGTTTCCCTTGTCATAAAAAAAAATAAAAAAATACCAGGATATTTGATTTTGCTAGTTGCTTCAGTTAGCAAAATAAAGTAGAAAACAAAATCTGTATTACAAAACTAACCTGTCAACAAAAAGAGGGTAAACTGCAGGATAATTTGTTTTTATTTTTTTAAAGAGAAACAAGTACTGTCTGTTTTCTTAAGTTTTATAGGTTCCTTAGCACATGAAGCATCGAAGATAATGGTGACCATATGTTGCAGGTCATTGTTGCTCATTCAATCCCTCCTCATTTAGATGGAAGATAGGAGAAATACAAAGTTGTTTAAAAACATGATTTAAAGTTTATCATTTGACTCATTTTTCTTGAACGTGTAGTAACCTACATTTCTTTCTGGACTGGTATGTTTTGCTACTGTTTACCGAACTATAAGCTAACATCTAATTTCATCTTTCAGGTATTAGGTAGTGGTTTTGAGGTGATTACAGTGGGAAAGAGAAAGCTTGTTAGATCTGTCCCTACCGAACTGAATAAGGATCACAATGAAATATTAGAGCTGGCCCAGGTACAACCTTTGTTCTTTGTGTTCCTCCAGAAATATCTCTCCTTCGATAATTTTGTAGTTGGGTAATTGCCATGCTGCAAAAAATGTCACTTTCACTTGATGCAGTCATTTTCTCCCTTGTAGTATTTCACAAATTTGGTTTCTTAAACCGGTCCTCGACTCATTTTGGCCGCTTAAAAGGAAATCTGTTATTTCGGCCATCAAAATTTTCTTCTGGATCCATGAATATTACCAAAAGGTTTACAAATTACAAGCTTAGAGAGTTTTCCCCAGATTGTCACTGCTTACTTAGAAACATTGCCTATTAGGTGCAGCTGAGTTTGCTTTGTTATTATAGATATTAAAAGAGGAAGGGAAGAGGGGCGAGTTTATTATCCACATAGTTTTGCACCGTGCACCATTAGCCGTGGGGCTTTCTTGGTTATCTAAAAAAAAAGAAAGAGGAAACCATGTGTGATTGTTTTCTGGTGCCTTTGCTGCAGGCTCAAGGTTTTGTGACTGTTGATGAGGTACAAAGACGCCTAAACTGGTCTTCAGGTCGTGCAACTGATGCGCTTGAAACACTGTTAGAGGTAAGTTTTCGATGTTATTCCTTGTTCTTTCCTCTCTTCTTTTCCATTAAGGCTCTAAATATATCCTTCTAGATTTTTTGTGGTTGGACCTAACAAATATGGGTCTCGTGCATCCAACAGGAAGGGCTTGCCATGATCGATGATGGACATAGAGATGGCAAACGTCGATACTGGTTCCCTTGTGTGTCCTCTGTCTCCTCCTATGTAGGTGCAGACACTCTTTAGCGTTTTCCTTGTTCAGATATGAGAATATTTCACTTTGCACCACGAACTTGGAGGATTGTTTCAAATAGAGATGCTACTTTTTTATCCGTTTCCGTGGTCCAACAAGCTTTTGATTTGCAGTTATTGCAAATGTCAAGTGTGTTACCCTATTGTGTAATCTTAGTGTTGAATCATTCATTGTTATGTCGTACACTTCAACCAAATTGGTATTATAAAGTTGTGAAAGGTTGATGGTATTTCCGAGGGTCTATTGAAAACAGTCTTTCTACCCCCACAAAGGTAGGGGGTACAGTCGGCATAATTCCTACCCTCAATCGTGGGATTACACTTGATATATCGTTGTTGGTTGAGAGTATTGGTTGTTTGCTGGAAAGTGTTGTTTTGTACCTGCCACGAGTCTCTGAATTCGTTTGATAACCAACTAGTCTGAGGACTGATGAACTATAAGTTGGAACTGTATATATGTGTACCACCAACTATAACAACTTCGTAAGTGAGATCCGGGGAGACTTTTAAGATGTACGTAGACTTTATTCCTACCTTTGTGGGGTATAAAGATTATTTTCTATAGATCCTCAACTAAAATCTTAAAGATAAATGTACCAGAACTTGTTCAACCAGCCACTAGTTTGTTTAAGATAAATACACGAGAATTCGTTTAACCCTTTCTACAAAAGCTTAGGCAGATGAAAAGAAATCACTTTGAGACGTCATAGTCTTATCGTTTATCTAACTATTTCATCAATTTCTTTCCAAGTGGTTTTTGGAGATCCACTAATAGCATTGCAATTCATTCAACATCCACAAATTACACCATAGCTGCAAATTCAAATACTGAATCAAAGACGAAATGACATGAACGGTAACACAAACTCAAATTCTATTCATTAAGACAATGTTGTTAAGTTCAAAAACAAGATAAAAAGTGTGTAAGTGTGAACGTATACAGTAATTCGCGATAAGAGTCCCAGCTCTTCTCAGTACAAACAGTCTGGACCTGGAACCGCGGTTATAATGAAATGCTATTACTCAGTTTTAGATGGGAAATGGTTTCCACCACTGGCAATCTTATAAAGGTAAAATCCAGTCATTACCACACTGCAAAAAGAAGATATCAGGTCAGCATTTTCGATTTTCCTGACTATTTTTCGCAAGATATGAACAAACAAATACTGGAAAGGAAACTAAGCATGACAGTTTGGTGCATCTTCTAACTTCTGTAATACACAACAATTTTTTAACATATACATGTATTTTGATAACAATGATGTCTGGATTAGCTTGCGCGCACTAGACCTTTCCACCTCTTTGCTCTCTTGGTTACTCGAACTCACAACTTTAGGGTTGGAAGTGACGGGTGCTTACCATTCGAGCAATTACCAGTAGTTCAAACTGTTAGGTGTAATCCACAATCAATTATATAATGACCACACCCTTGGGGTTTCGTAGATATCACGCAAATTGGCACCACACCTTCCCGGATTTGGTGTATTTCATATTTGATCGTTTAATGGCACTATTCCTCCCTAGATTGTGAACCTATGGTCCCTTGTACTAACCTAAAAAAATGAAAAACAGACTCATTACAACCCGAGGTCAAGGTCATGTCTGGGCTTGATTCAAAAGGAGATTGGTTGGGACGGGGAGCTTAGGTCCTCGAGAATCCACATACCACCACGGAGGAGCATAAAGGGGAAGGTGAACCACTGAACTTGTGACATTGTTTCACTCATGGGTAGTTAGAGATGGAAAAAGTTTCTTTCTGACTGTCTGCACTAGATGGAATCAGAGAAACATTTTTTAATCTAGACAAAACTTGTGAACTTGCATTGAAAAAGCTATCAAGAGATCAAAGAAAAAACATTAATTTACTAATTGGATAGTATAGTGATCCCCATAAAGTGAAGAAAGAAACACAAAATGAAAGGTAATGTAAGATGTTCTTGGAAATTCGACTTCACTGCACATAGCAATCTAATGTTCAGTTTGCGACTAGGTAGTTTACATATATACAGACCATGATAAAGCAACTTGACATATTATGTGTAACATGTATCAAGTGAATCACGCCACACAAATCTGATGTATTTATGAACGAAACGGAACAGATAAATGAAATACTACCACTAAATAAGTTAATAACACAACTTGTATGGCATGCTTTCTATTTGGAGTTACCTGATACCCGCAACAACACCAGCTGGCATTATCTTTGAAGTTTGCATGTACCGCTGTCCCATGACCCATGCTAACACAGCAGCACAACCTGTTTCAAGCGAAGAAAAGTTAAGTGGAGATAATTTGTCCAGCCAAAAAAACATAGGAAATTCAATGTTATCGCAAGAAAATGAATGAAGCTTTCATTTTTTTACCCCTTCGAATCAGAATATGATCATGATTACATTAAAAAAACTTAAACACATTTTCCCCATATCTTCCGTTTCTACAGAATTGAACTACAAAATATTAAGATTGAACTTGACACTGCAGACTGTTAGAGGGATCCATACCAAAGGATGTTGCAACTCTTGGTGTCTTTGGGCAACAACAACAACATACCCAGTGTAATCGCACAAGTAGGTTTGGGGGAGGGTAGTGTGTACACAACCTTACCCCACCTTGTGAAGGTAGAGAGGTTGTTTCTGATAAACCCTTGGCTCAAACAAACAAGTATGTTAAGCAAATACAGTAGTGGAGAAATTATGTTGAAAACAATGAAGAAGAGAAGAGTAACAATGACAAATAATACGATAACGGAAGCAAAAGATCTTGGTGGCTTTGGGCAACGCTTCAAATTCATACTAGTCATCTCAAGTAATTCCTATTGTATTAAGCTTTAGGTGATATGCTGAATTAAACAGAACAGGAAACTAGGGACGTAAAGAGAATTACATAGAGTAAAAGCCTATGCAGTAGTAAAGAATGTGACATTACACTGGAAGCTAATGAATCATGATTGAAGGAGTTAGTAATGCAATTGATGCATTGTTTTCTTCTTTAAAAACCTTCTTTACGCATCTGTTGTAGTTGTCTTAAGAGTTAACGATAAACTGATAAGAGGACCATTTGCCTTTTATCTCCCTATGGTTGTCATCTTTTGCGCGTTACCTCTCTGGCACGTGACATGCAGAGGTGTAAAACACAAAATGCATTATGTGACTGTTTTGCTTTTACCGCGGCTGTAGCATGATCAACATCATGCATTAGCTAAAAGTTGGCATGCGGACCAAGAAAATATATGAGATAAAGGTACATGGAAGGAAGGGCAAAAAGATACACAATCATTCCCTTTCTCTTTGGTCTAAGCTAGTTCAGAACTCGTTTTTTTTTTCAGAATCATTGCACAACTCAACACCTATTCAAATGAACCTATCAGTTTCTCATATGTTTAGAATCATTATTCACTTTCCTCAGGGCTAAGAACCAAGAATTTCTCAGTTCACAGAAAGATCCAATAGCAATGTCTTATCATCTACTGCAAACCATACAACAGCTACACACAAACTTCGTAAAACAGACACATAAACAATCAAGGAGAAAAGCTTTCTCCCCTTGAGATATCTAAAGCAGAGCAACAAAAAATCAGACCTTTTCACAGTACATAGAATCTGGCAATATCATGGAAACAAAACCATAGTCATATCTAAATTTAGGCTGCAGCAGTGTCCAATGACCAATGTTGCTTGGACTCTTCAAAAATGTCATCGGGTGCATATCGGATCCTCCAAAAGTAGTGCATTTTCAGAAGATCCGACACGATACAACAAGATTTTTGGATAGTCCGAGCAACATAGGTAGGCAAAATCATGACTTTCACAAACAGGAATCGAAATATAAAGAAGTACACACAGAAGCTAAGATCCAAAAGGATTCAACATCTAGTATATATATATATACATAAAGAAAAAGCATTAAACTTATATACACGGTATAATTTTTCAGCGAAGGTGATTCAGATGAACCCTTGCACCACTAGCTCATAAAGCCACTGCCTTCAATTCCAGTAATATTCATTCCATATGATTAATACAACATTTTTTCACTTACAAGAGAGTAAAGGGTACAATATTACAACTTAAATGTTTTTTGAATTTCTTCTATACCTGCAAATAACATATAAGGAAATGAAAAGACTATATACCTGTTTCAAGAAACAAAGCAAAGTAAGAGTTTTTGCGCTTGTGAAATGCTTGGAGACTCAAGTAACCAGCTAAAATGAGCAAAAAACCAGTACCCAAACCTCCACCCAAGGAAGCTAAACTTCCTTTCTTGGAATACCCTATAATTCCACCACACACAAGAATCAAACCATAGGGGATTGTAAAGCAAAAATCATGCATTTTTATCCAATGGGGTTTTAAGAAAGATTGAATCTTGATAAATTTAGCAAAAAATTGAGAGATCAAGAATGAAAAGATTCAATTTTTAAAGGATCTTGGTGGGTAAAACTTGAAATTTTTTAATTTTTTGAGGTGGGAATTGGCATATAGTACATCTGATAAAAACTAATTTGGTCAAAAGGCCAAAAGTCTCAGGTTACCTATTACCTAACCTCCATGTTGTTTGTTTTACTGGTCAAAATTACCCTCTGAATTTTGTTAAATGACACACATATTTGGTTAATTTACAGCTGAAAAGAAGATGTATGTGAGGGTAATATTGTCAAGAAATTGAGCTGGTAGATGTTTGACCCAGTGTGCTTGTGGCTTTGTGGAAAGTCCACACGACATTTGAAACAATTTTGTCTGTTGTGTATTGTTTTTTGTTATTTATAGTAAAACAATTGGGCTGTGTTAGGCAAGGCTATTAAATATTACTGTTAAGAGTCGGTCAAAAACACATCAAAATTATCATTTTTTCACGAGTTTCATACTTATTATGGCTTGTTCTATTTTTTATTTGAACTATTACACCCTCTATTTCATATCATATTAGTTGATTATTTTTCTTTTTACACGCATATTAAGAAATTATAAATAAGAGAATAAATTTATTAATTTGCCCCTTAAGAAACTTCTTGGAAATTTTCTTTTTGTACAATGTAACTTCCCCTTAAATGGCAACAATAATACAAACAACCACTTGAGTATGTATCTGCATGAGGTGAAACTAGGATTTTTACTAACGAAATTCAAAATATAAAGAAATAAAACAGAAAGAGTCAAAGGTATTCAATGTCTGTTATATATACATAAAAGATAATTTTAACTTTGTAAATATCGTGTAATTTTCCAGCCAAGGGAGTTTGGATGAACCCCTTGCGCCCCCTAGCTCCACCTTTGTACATGCCAATAAAATTCAGTCGAGGGGAGGGACTAAGAGGTCATAAGAATCCTTCTCATTTCATGGCTACCTCTAGTATTGCACCCTGAACCAATCAATGAGGTTATCCAAACCTGATCGGACCTCACTGATTCATCGTCATCGTTCCTATGCCAACTCCAAAAGGCATGTGTTGAGTTGACCATCTTAAGTTCGCCATGACCAAAGCTTGCTTCGCGGAAGACTGACCATTCTGGTGGGGGCTGTTTGTACCTGTTGAAGGTGCCAAGACATGTAAAAACTCTTCCATATTTCAAATAACTCTACTTTATGTTTAAACTACAGTTATCAACACAAAGAACATGAAAAGAGAATCTTATAGTAGGACTAGTAACATCAACAACAACATAACCAGTGTAATTTCACAAGTAGGGTTCAGGGAGGGTAGTGTGTATGCAAATCTTATCCCTATCTCAGCTAGGACTAGTGGCACGTTAAAACTTCTGTAACTCAAAATGAAGGGGGAGGTAGGAAACCTATCTTTCCTATGGGGTAGTAGTTGATTAAATTTCCAGAACAGTTTAACATGAGTTTTCAGCTTCACAAAGCCTGGAATAAAAGTGTGATTTAGGAGAACACACATGAAAAATAAGTGATTTTTCTTACTTATTTTAAGGTGTTCGTAAGTGTAAAAAAATCTCAAGAACATTTATATGTAATCTAGGAGAACACTTTGGGGTGGAGGATGGGGTATGGAGTGGGAGGTCGTGGTTGGTGCAGGTTGGGGTGAGGAGACAATGAGCTTGTAATGTCACTTACGAAACTTGTTTTCTATATTTCGACTAGGGAAGTCATTTTCCTGATTTTCAAGGAACTCGTTTATCTAAATTTAGCCAGATTGAAAAACTTTTTCCGGAAGATGTTTTCCTTCATATACCAAAGACACCAGTGCTTGCCTTTTTACGTTTTTACTCTCTCCTTTGTTGTCAAAATCACTCAACCACAATGTAAAAGCTTATTACAATTCCACATAAAATATACATACCGTTAAAGAATTCAACTATTTGGTGCTACAGTGCTCAACATGATGGGAGAAATTACTAGAAGAAGAGTTACCTGTGAGCTAAACCTTCTCTATTTCCTCCATCGCCAATTGTAATGTGGACAGCACCGCAAGGATCAGATTTACCGTTGTAAACTCGTTTCTGTTGTCAAAGAAAACACTCAATTAGGTAAAGGTTAATTAAAAAAAACAGTATAAGCAATGCAGGCATACCGTGCGTTCATAAGCATGAACATGCCCAGTGAACACTAAATCTGCACCAGCAGCATATAACAAAGGCTCCATAGACGCCATCATGTCATCACCTTCACCTTGATGGGCTCTGTTACTATTATACCATGGCACGTGGAATAGCACAACTAACCAAGGTGTTCTTTTACGATCGACTTTTAGAAGATCAGCCTGCAGATCAAGATCCATAATTGAACTAATTAGCAAGTATGAAATGTGAAGAGATTCTTAGGTTTCTCCTTATATAATACCCCCTTTGCGCAATATAAGTGAAAGGGCTCAGAGTACAAGAGTCGAAACACTAAACTTCGACTATAAATCAGGTATGGATTCTCCAAAAAATTTAAATAAAAATTTACATATTTTGAAAACTACACAAAAAGTACTACAAGTCAACATAGCCACTGTTTCAAAATATTTTTAAAAAAATGAGAAAATTATAGTCAAAGAAAAAACAGTATGACTCTCCAAACAGTAACATAGTGGTATCTTTTTACGTGTAAGCTCCAAAGTTTCTTATTATGACAATGGACAGAAATATCTTCAGATCTAAAAGTATAAAGCAACAAAATTATCTTCTGTTTTGTATTGGCACTTCCTAAGGATTGGAAATTTCCTGAAATGTCATGTCTAAAACTGTAAAACAAAAGCAACTTAATCTTTTTCATGCTGAATTCTACATGATTATAAATTCTTCAAAGCCATATGAGACTTTCCCATTTTAGGAATAAATGAGAGCTCATCTAACCTTCAGCCAGCTATATTGATCAGATCGCTCATCATAAGGAGCATAAGAACCGAGCATAATGATATGAGCCCCAGCAACATCAAATGAATAGTATAGATTTGAAGCGGATCCACTCTCCGCAAATGGCATCTTCCACCTTGAGTTATAAGAGACAAATCCATCCTCTAGAAATAGTATTCTTTCTTTTTCATGATTCCCTTGTGTCACCATCCATGGCCTAGAACTAGCGAGCGGCTGAACAAGTTGACCAAATGAGTCCCACCTATGTTGGAAACAATCAGCATAAGAAAGGTCACCAGGGAGCAAATGAATATCGTATTTGCACTGGTCTATGTGGTCCAAAGTTGACTTAGTCCATCCAGTCTGGCCCAAATCACCGGCAACAGCAAAAGTAACTGGAAACTTAGAGGGGGGAGTTTTCAGCTGGAATTCAAGACCTTCTCCTCCACATCTATAGAAGTAAGTGGTATTATCTTGCAATGGTCCAATGATTGTGTGATGTATCTTCCCCGAACTATATAATACATAACTATACTTGGTACTTTCTCCTTGAGATATAGCACTATATTTTCCGGGGGATGTTCCATATTCAACAATAGAAGGAGAAGATCCATCATTGGTAATCCATGTGACCCGCATGTGTTTCTCCCCAGCTAAGGAGATGTGAACCTGCAATGGGAAAATCAATTCCCTTGATGAGGTCCACAAGCTCAAATCATGAACCCAAATACAAAGTATATCACTTTACAGATTAAAATCAACAGGTCTTTTGACAACTTAAAATAACATTAATAACATATTTGAACAAACATAAACGCCACAAAAACCAAATAGTTTTAGGCAGCTTACAAACTTTATTGGTGTTATCAATGGACCTAGGGCATACCAAGCTAATTTAATTATACTTGTCGTACAAAGAAACACATATAGTCCATACTAATAATAGGTAATGTACCTTTCTATGAAGAAAATAATATCGACTCAGGATCAGTATTGAGTATTAAGGAACCCAAAGATGGTGCAATTTATATAAGCAGACTTACACTGATCGTCAAGGCATAACTGTCGTTAAGGCTTTAACAGAATTCTCAGACTGATCCTCAAGGCATAATTGTCATTAAGGCTTCAATAGAATGCTCAAAGCGGAAGCCTTTAACCAAACAAAATACAAATTCATGATTAAAGTCAAGTTTTTTTCTCTATTTTCTTTTGTGATAATGATAGTGACCAGGTCAGCTTGTTCACACAGTTGACACCGCCCGACTCCCAATAGATGTCAGTAACTCTGTCCACCAAAACCACCTAGCTTTTTTTGCTCTACTTGGGATTTAAATCCTGGTCTCCCACCAGATGCATTGATCACTAGGTACTAAAAGCCAGCTTGTTTTTTTTAAAAAAAAAAACTGGTAATATTGTATTCCTCGGCACTATGGCTATGCTGGCAACCTCCAAACAGGCTCGAAGTCTACTAACTGAACTTCATCATTTACAAATTCTTCTTTACACCAACTTATTCTAACTAGGGAAAAGGTCTATTGGCCGTGTACTATTCGAAACTTCTAAATTTTGCTTGGTTGGGTACTAAAAATTTATCCCAAGATTATCTCCCCTTATCCATCACACCGAACAACCCCTTAGTTCATTCATACCCTTGTTATTAGTAAAATTATCTTGTATTTTCCCTCGACACTAATAAAGCTCTAGCGTGAAATGTAGATTCCACATGTCCAAATCCTTCATTAAAAACGTCTAGATTTACCCTTCAACTTGACTATAGTTTAAAATTACTCTCAAATTGGAGTGTCAGACTTCTGTTAGGGGTCAAGGGAAAAAGTGAGCCCCTTTGTAAGGCCCAAGGGAAGTCAAAGTTGCTCAATTTCGGAGAGTACAGAGACAAATTTAACCATTTTCCCCTCCTAACAAAGACCATTTCCTCTGTATGTTGTGTACTGCTCCCATTTCACATTACTTCGTTGCGATTACGGCTCTCATTTTTGTATTCCCTTTTTCAAACTCCTCGGAAATGCTTTATTTTAAGCCGAGGGTCTTTAGAAAACAGTCTCTCTAATACTATGAGGTACGGCTAAGGCCTTTGTACACACTACTGCTCTACCCTCCCAGACCCCACTTGTGGGATTACAGTGGATATGTTGGTGTTGTTCACAACAGCAAGATGAAACCAACTCCCCCTATATGACCTCCGCAGACTGCA